ATGTAAATTTTCATCTCATATTGTTTTTCATTTAACTCTTTTGAGATAGAAAAATTAAGACGTGAGGCAACACGTTTGGAGCTATTTTAGACCACTCGTAAATGACGAGATGGCTTTTCATCAATTTATGCTCACAGCATACAATGGTAAGTATTTTAAATTTTAAATTTTATATATGCAAATAAAATCTAAAAAATGATTTAATCTCTTAATGTTATAATTATTTTGATTACGTAGGAACATGTTATTGAGCTTATACAAAAATTTGTTGAGAAGCAATGGGCAAAAGGAATCTCAAAGCCACAAGTGGACAATAATGCCATATACCTCGAGGTTATAGGTGAGAAAAAGAAGAGACTATATGAGGTAGGCATACAAGCGATGCATTATCTATCCTCATTAGGTGGTAGCAGCTCACCCTTTGTGTCATCATATTATACCGATGATATTTCCACTAAGGAGGTTCGGAGGCGGTACGAGGAGATGAAGGAGGCGATGATGGATGCGGGTCAAACAACATGTGCTATACAACCTTGTCATGGAGCAACAGAGTACTATACATAGGCTTAATTATCAGTATGAAATGATGGCCTCCATATTGATTAGACCGACATAGACATCCGAGTTACCTATAAATCCATCCATCGGTCAAGACTCTATCATCCCTCCCACCGAGTCCCTTACCAAGCCTTAAGAGGAGGATAGGGGATTAGATGATCAAGATGAAAATTGCGAGTGATAATTCATTTTTCTTTATTTGTTTTCTTTTCTTTCATATATACTATCGAATCTTTTTTGTTAATATTAATTTATATTTAATTTATAGTATTTAAATTTTAATAATATTTTTTCTTCTAATTGTTAATTACTATCGAGAATATCAATAATTTAAAAAACAAAAAAAATATAAAAAACTTTAAATTTTTTTATAAAACATATATTTAATGACGGATTGCTAATGAATTTCTATGCCGATGGTGACAGAGTTGCAATGGATTACTTTAACATTCAACGACGAAATAGTGATAACCTAGTGATGGATGACATTAGCGTTGATCATTAATCGGTGATAGCACTAGTGACGGAATAATGATGCTTAATACAACGATTTGCGGTGACCGATTAAGTGATGAACATTATCTTTTTGTGATGGAAAGTCCATTGCTATATTAGTGACGGAATGTTTTTGACATCGCTAAGGTTAGTGATAAAATTTTTTATTTCATTGCTAAGCGACTTTAGCACCGGATATTGGATAATTAGTAATGGAAAAATCCATCGCTAATTATCACTTTTCTCATAGTGAGAGTTAGTTTGAATAAAATTACAAGCCTCTTTGAATCTAGCCTTAAATTAGGTTTGTCTTTTCTTCACCGTTAATAAGATAAAGACATTGACACTTTCACCGAGTTTATCCTTATTGGTATAATTCTCAAGATTTTTACAAGAAGACTTATCTTCATCTTTATCCATATTCATGATTCCGTTAACTTTCTATTGTAGGAAAAGAATTGAATTTTTTATGAAACTTATAATGAGAGCTTGATGGAAAAATTATACTTTGTCAATGTATCGAAATTCTTGCAAAATTCATGCCAAAGAACATCATTTTCCTCTCTTAATTTTTATTTTATTTTGTCATCATTCTTAAGTTTCTCAATTTCTACGAATGATACTCCTCATAGCGTATACCAATGATGGTATATTTAAATTGACCATAATTATGTTTCAATATGAATTTAAAAAGTTTGGTAGTATTTTTGCATCCTTTTGAATGAAGTATTGTATAAAAAAAATTATAAAAATCATGTTTTATCCCTTTGCCATAACATTTCTCTATTGTTCTCATCTTATAGCCAATACCATTTCTTTTAATCATTTTATGTGTATAATTACTTTCTTTATGTGCTACTTTCAATTTTGCTTCCAAAGTGTCTTGGTTTTTTTCCCTATTATTACAAGCTTAGAAATATCATGATTTTTTTTCTTCTCTTGTCGATTCTTTTGAGCTCTATAAGTTAACACCTTATGGAATAACTCTTTTCCTTTATCATAAATATGGTTCTTATCATCACAATCATTTTTCTTGAAATTTGGTTGGATAAAGAGTTTCAAGAGTTAAGATCACTTGTAATGACTATATTCCTCCATAAGAACTTTAATAATTAGGTGTTATATCAAAATATGATTGATAATGTTATGATTACCAAAAGTTTCATAGAGAAATTGGAATAACACTTCTACTATTATGGCCAATCTGTTTTACGAGCATAGTGGTAAGAAGATATTGGACGAAATTCTAAATTGACACTCTCATTGTCTCTATAAGCTCTAATGTGAGTTTTTTTCATTGTAAGAATAAGGACTAGTTTCTTTTTCAAATTCCTTAGCATATTTTTCAAAATACTTTTATAATATGTATAACTCATGTGCTCTTAATCCTTGGTCAATAATTTATTTTATTTTAAATTGTAACCTCCTTTTTTACTTGCTTAGCCATTTTCTCTAGCATAACTTGTTCAAAGTTTGACGAGTGATATATTTAAATCAAACTCGCGGTTATTTTTGTCTTCAAAGTCACATTAAATGCATGTAATGTTTTATACAAATCAGTATATGTTTCACTTTTTAATGTTAACATTAAACTTTAGTTACACAACATAATACAACATACAAATAGACTCAAGTTGTAAATTACGGATAGCTTACAAAGTACTCTCTTAAATTTCAATACACTTGATACTTATTAAACAATATCTTGTAGGTAATTAATACTCAAGTAAGCTAACAGATTTATAAGTTGATAGATTGATTCATGGTTCTTGCCTTGCATCAACAGTTTGTGAGCTTAAAGTTTTGACATGTCTAGAATACCCATTTACAAACACTTCATTGTCATCGGTTAGTGTGAGTGTTTGTTTCAATTTATGATATTGTTACGTCCGCAATCCTATCTTTTTTAATACATAGGTTGTTTAATCTTGTAATTTTTTATTCGAATTGGTTTTTTTTTTTTTTTAATTTCAAGTTAGTTCAAGACATTTAAATCTTTCATTTAAGATCATCATCGTTATTAGTAATTATCCTCACAAACTTGCATCTTAGCTTCTACACGGATTGTAAAGCTTTTAGACTTAAGTTCTTATGGATTAACTCTACTACTTTGCAACTTAAAAATGTGCAAAATTAAAAGAAAAATTATATTTATTGATGAAAAATGATACTTACAAACTAAAAATCCTTTTTTAAATATGATTTTCTAACTGGAATCAATTTTTTAGGATTACGAACACGAGTTATAGATACAAGATGAAAGCAAAAAGCTAAACTATCGGTCGATAAATAATCAACCTATTTTAATAATTGTCTAACAATTTTTAAGTATGTTAAAACTTAAAATTATGCCTTATAGACCTCTCATATAGTATTTTCACTATAGTAGAGTTTAATCATCAAGTTTGGGATGGATTGGTGTGGTTCTTCTATGCCTAGGACACTAGAATATCGAACCATAAATGAAGAAAGACATGAGAGGAAAGCATATTGGCTAGTGATTGTGAGGTTTGCTATTCTCCATGAAAATTATGAAACATGAAATAATTTAATCTATGAACAACATTTTTCATGGTAAAGGCTGTAATGCTAAAGGAATCATTACAATAAGGCATAAAGAAAGAGATCATAAACGGGTGTACCATAAAATTGATTTCTTTATCAAGATTCATCATAATTTTTTTAAATGACTAAAATTAAAATGAGTTAAAAAATAGAATTTAGATTTATATTTCTATGTATATGATACAAAATTTCATATGATTTCAATATACCAATTATAATGGCTATAATAGGTTGCAACGAGACTTAAATCTAAAACTAGTCGGATGGAGTAAAGAATTTCTTTATTAAAAGATTAGGTTTTAATGGGATTTATTTTCCAAAAAAGATTGATTCTTGATAACCCATTGCACACTTAATTAGTGGATTACAACATATCTATTGCTTGAAATTCAAATTTAATCTCCTTTCATACTTTACAAGTAATAGGTAGATCAAGGCTCCATTTGCTAGCCATAGAGAGACAAGTAAAATCCAATACACGAGATAAGAATTATGCTTTAAGAGCTTCTTGTTGTTTATAAGTGTTCTTGAGTTTACAAGCAATAGGTAGATCAAGGCTCCATTTGCTAGCCATAGAGAGACAAGTAAAATCCAATACACGAGATAAGAATTATGCTTTGAGAGCTTCTTGTTGTTTATAAGTGTTCTTGAGTTTGATTGTTTGTTGTTATTGATTGTATTTTTCTCCTCTGACAACTTGTATTTATAGGTTTTTTATTCTTTCATGATCATTTTTAGCGCCCCATGTTCTTTTAAAATTGTCTATACGGTCTTTTAATATAGGTCTTTTGGTCTAAACAAATCACATAATAAATTAACTAATAAGCTTCTTATGTGAAATCAAATTACTAGATTTTTACACCTAGTCTAAGTTTTAGATATAACACATATGCATGTTGCTTATATTGTTAAAAAATTTAACCAACATGATTATCTTCTAAATTAAAACTCAATGAAAAACCAAATAAAGAAATACAATTAGTGAATGGAATCGATTAAAATGATACATTATATTTTTGTTAATGTTTACCCTACATTTTTTCTTTGTACTATTTGATTTTTTTTTTTTTAGATTGAGACCCTCTTTCTTTCTTTTTTTTACTTGATTAAAATTTTTTATTCTTATAAATTTATTGATTCGGATCCTCCATTATAACTTTGTCAATTATCCATCCGATGTGGCACGTTACCTTTAACAATAACCTATGACTAAGCAACACATGATTAAGTAGGTCCCAAAATATTGTATTTCCAACTGAATTAAAGAAATTACAAATATTTTTAGTAATAAACTAATACTTAAAGTTAAAAAATAAATGGTAAAGATAAATTTACCTTTACCCCTATTTTCTTTTTTATCACTAGCCACTCTATACTACTATTCACCCCTTAATCCAACTACCACTCTCCATAATCTTAAAGCCTCCAATTTGCAAAATCTGGTTGAACTCTAGATCTATGCAATTCAAGTATACATAATTTAACAATAAGAAATATGCCAATGCTCAATCTAATAGGAAAAACTAGTAACTAAAACATCCATATAGCATTTGGATTTTAAATTTAAATAAAATTTCTTTATTTTCTAGATATATTTCTAAGCAACTAAGCAATTTAATAGAAATATTAGTAATTTAAAAACAAGACATGAATGGAAATGAGAGAACAAGTCAATACTTTATTGGAACTCTTCTTCTCCTTCACTTCATACATTTCTTAACACATATATGATAACCATGCACTTGCACTTACCAATTGCAAACTCAAGAGAGAAGGAAAAAAAAAACAACATTAACGAAACTCCAATCACAACCTCGATGATAACACCAATGACTTCTTATTGTTCAAGACAATAAATCAAAATTCTTATATCCAACTAGTTAAAAATTCTTATTGTTCAAAAAGAAATAATAACTTTAGTATATACGTTTGATAAGCCTTTATGCTTGACCAAGTAATTATCATACTAGAAAATAGCGAACATCCAACTCCAAACCATCATAAACTACAAGACCACCAACCCAACAACCCTTTTTTGTTTGGAATAGTAGAAGAAAATGGCCAAAAACCACTAAATCCATCCACGAAATTAAACCTAAAGACAAGATCGACAAGATGTTTCATTTCTAGTCACGACTATGGTCGTAACCATTTAGAAAATGTTTCTCATCCTCTAAAAAATCGAATCCTCTTAAAATCCAAATGAAATCTTGCCAAAATCAATCAAATCAAACAAAAATTAATTCGGATCCATTTTTGAAAGCTCATCTTAATCGTCGGCTTTATAGCAAATCGGACCACTCAATGACCGGAGAATGGCTCACTCGGGGTGGTTTGAGTAGATAGCCACTTTCTTCCTCCCTTGCACAACACCACGAGCCCACTCTCCATTGCCTTAAACCCACGACCACGAAAGACCATAGTTCCAAAAACCTTTTTAGCATCGTCGATCTCCATTGTCACTCAACCAAAAACCTTACCTTGCCATTGTTCTGAAATCCTTATCCATTGAAACCATCTTCAACTCAAAAAACCACAGTCCCTACTACAAAATGCGACCATACTAGATTGACTTTCTAAATTGGGTTGAAAAAAATAAAAGGTGGGGTTTTTTTTTATTTATTATTTTATTATTTAAATTAGTTTTAGTTTTTTTTTGCTTTTAATTTTTGATGGAGATACTATTATCTAGATCCATTATTGATGACGAGACAACTATCGAGTGAAAGATTTAGTTGCCACAAGTTTGTCTATATAAATCTTGGACCCACCATTACTAGATTTAGTTGCCACAAGTTCATATATATAAACTTTTAATTTAAAAACAGAATACTAAAATTTTATGTTTGGTTTGAGTTTTAAATGACTTTTTATTTTGAAATTTTGTTTGCAATGTTAGAGGAAAATTTTGATAATCATTTAGAGTAGTTTGATGGCTGAAATGGTTAAGTCTCAATAGCAAATAGTTGACAAGAATAAAGATTATAAATTAAACCAATAGATAGTTTAGAGGTTAAATGTATGTTTTAGTCCACCCAAATGACACAAAAAATTGATAAAATATTAGTTAATTGGCTTAGATCAATAATCGTTGTTATTATTACTACATTACACATTTTAAAAAAATATTATTAATTAATTGATTTTTTTAAATGGCTTAATGGTAGAGACAGAAGATCCCAAGACTGAGGTTGTTGGACAACTTTTTTTTTTTTTTTTGTGAAAAAAAATACAAGTTCAGTTCAATATCTATATTTCAAAAAAGTTCAATCCAATCCTTCTCTAACAACATAATTTATAATAGTTATTCGTAGATCAACACTTTGCCAATTTTTGTGTCAATAGAGCTACTTTGATACACATGAATTAAAACAACCATTTGTTATAAACATTGAAGGAAAAATGTGGTTTTGTCTTCGGGAAAAAAAAAAACCACTTCTTTTTGTATGAATTCAATTTCATTTTCTAAACATTAAAGAATTTTCGTATAAAAGTAATACGGGGAAAAGTTATTATTATAACTTAGTAACTTTTTTTCTTTTTACAATAAAAGTAAAATGCTAAAAAGGATTAACATTTAACCTCATTTAGTTAATTCTTAAATTAAGGATGGGATTGAGAAACTTAGGAGAGGAAAAATGTCTTTTTATTGTTGTGCTTATCCACATCATTTTAACTTTAGTATCCTTTTTTTCCCTCTTTATCTTACACTTTACATTTCGATACCCATCAATTCATATTATTTATTTTTTATATTAAAATTTTGATATTATTTCTAAAGAGAGCTAGTATTTCTTACGCTCGAATTTATTGTCTTTCCTCTTTGACATTTCACATCAAAATTTCTCACTTCGTAGGTTTTCAAATTTGAATTAAAAGAGAGCGACTCTGCTTTTGGTAAAGAAGTCACGTAGGCTGTTTGTCGGCCTAGGCGTCCGTGAGAAAGCTGTACAAAATAGAATTCTTTCTTTACCTTTGGGCTTTCACGAAAGCGACTTAAAAGTTTTTGGACTGTAATGCTAAGGCTAGTGGCAAGGACCCCACACTGTGCCTACCTTCCCCTCCCCTCAGATCAAAGAAAATAAAATTATAGAAGAAAACTGTCTTTAGACACCGACCTATAACAACTTCCTTTTTTTTTTTTTTTTTTAATCCTCTTTATTTATGGTTTTGTTTTTTACTCCTACCATAATCAACTTTGGGCCCATGGTGCAATGATTTCTTCTTCTTTATTTATTTATTAAATTCCCTGACTTAATATTTTTTATTCGTAGTGAATTATTTGGCAATAACGTCATCCTCACATCAAGTGTGACATATCTCAACTTAACCGATAACCCATATCCGTATTATTCACCCGATCCATGTTGTATGTCCATAGGTGGCTGGGTCATTTCCTGTTTCCCTTTTTATCCTACCATTTTTATTTTTTCCTTTAAGTGCCTACCTCGTAACTCGTAGGAAACTCCAAAAATACAGGCCCCTGATTCTTTTAGTTTTATTGCAGAGCTGTAGTATTGACAGAGTATTTGACCACCACTCGTAATCTTTATTTTTGTAAGTAGAATATATAGCACAGACATTAAACTTAGGATGACGTGCATATATATATATATATATATATATATATAAGAAAGTGTTGTTAGGCATTGTTTTTCTTTTATGTTTTTAATTTCAAAGTTTGAAAAATTATTTGTTTTTGTTTATAAGAATATAGAAAACAACAGCCGATTGTTGTGTTTAAGTTTTTCGAGGAAAAAAATATATTTGTTTGCACTGTTATATATTTATTTTTCTATGAAAAATTTTAAAAACTTAAATAATTTTTTTGAAACAATAAAAAGTATTATCATAACTCTACAACAACCATTGATGGGTTCCCAAATATAATATTATTTTATGATATCATTTTATTAATATTATAATCATCATACTACTACAATAACTATTAATATCATCCTACTAGCAAAATCGATCTCTTGTCATAATTAACTTCATTAATACTATTATCATTATTTTTATAAATTTTATAAATTATATTATAAATATTTTTGCTGCTATTACATTAGTAGAACAACATCTCGTCATATCATTATCACTTACTATGATCATCATTATTTATCAATATAATAACAATAATTATAAATTTAGTATTATCACAACTCATAATCATTATTTTTATCATCGTGTCAATTATAACTATGGTAATGCTTGTTGTTACCTTGATGCCACAATTGATCATCATGATTAAATTATGAAATATAATTATTTTTTATTTTTAATTAATAATATTATATTTTTAAATTAAATCTATAACATAATTTTTTCTTCATATATCATTATTAAAAATATAATTTTTTTCAAAAAAAATAATAAACAAAAAATATAAAATAGTTTTTAGTCTTTTAAAAATAGAAAACCAAAAACAGAAAGTAATAACAAATGATCCATAAAAGTTTTCAAACCTAAACAAAATGTTTTTTTTTTTTTAAAGGTAATAGATATCATCGCTTTTGCATCCAAAAATTGAAAAGAGAAATAAGGAAACAATAAATCATACCAAATAATTCTGACGTTACAAAAAATGGAATAAAATAATTTGATGGATTTTGTTTGGTGAAGTAATGTCAGGAGAACACAGGTGTCCCATCTGAATATATGCTTCTCTTTTCAATAACTGTGTTCATGTAGCATCACCATTGTTCATTCATTGGAAGATGAAAGAGTTTTCACCTAACGCACATGATGGTGTTTTTTATTTTTTCTTTTGTTGATCAACAGATGATGATGGTTAAATGCTGCAAACAAGAATTGCGGTTGACCTCTTTGTCTGGTTGTTGGGACAGATGTTTGGGACATAAGTTTGAAATGTGAAACCCCATCAGTCCAATTTTGTCAACTTCAGCATTCATCGAAATTTGATTATAGTGATCTAAATGCATATTGAATTTCAAGCAATCCTAACTCAGTCAACGTCTCTATCACTTCTTGCCCGGCAGCGATTGCAATATAATATTAAATATGTGTAATAGTTTTAATTGTCTTTAAAATTATTTAAAACAAAAACATATAAAAATACTCAACACAATTATTGGATAATAATAATTAAAATAGAAAGAAAGAAAGAAATACCCCCTCATAAAATTAAAAATAAGAATAAAATATATTTTTTTCAACAATGAAGATATTTTCTAATTAATTTAGACATCAATTGAAATGAAGTTTTTTTGATAACTTTAAAAATATACTTTCTACAACGGTTTAGTACATTTAAAAACATTTAATAAATTCTCTTAAATTTTGATTCAAAAATTTGATTCTAGAAAGTCAAAAAGAGAAACAATCTTCTAGATAAATTCTTAAAACTAAAAGAATGTAATTTTTTTTTTTTTAAAAAAAAGACATTAGCCTCATCGATAATACTATATGAATAGTAACCGAAGCACCTAGTGTGGATTTATCTAGACTCGTGCACAAATAGTGGCAATGAATGTGGTGCATAAAATTAACAATAACATGGTCAAGTGGGATACTATACTGCTTGCTGTAAAATATTCTCCTGCGCTACGCACACAGCTTGTAAAGATATTTTTTTCCTCTTCTTTTTATTTATGACAATTAAATAGAATTTCTTTTCAGCTGAACAAGTGCAATATAAAATCTATAATTTCTTTTCTTGAACCAGGGAAAAGTCTAAATAAGTGACATACCATATCATAAATCTAGATAAATTAGTCATGGTTTGCCAAATTTAAACCATTTTTTGGGGCTTCGTTAAAAATGACCAGTAATCACGTTACAAAGCCCATCATAAAATCTCTAGCCGGAAATAACTGCGTTATTGGGCTGTGGCAGAACAGGCCAGTCAGAGTCTTGCTGGACATTTTAGGCTTAGAGGCCTATATACTACATAGAGCAAGTCTAATGGAGCCCATTTAATTATTTGGGCTCAAAATTGGCCATTGACCTCATTACGACAGATATCAGTTTTTACTTTTTGTGTTACTTTTCAAAATTTCACTTTAAAATTTTGATTTGTTTAAAACACAAGCTCGTATCTTCATTGCAATTGTAATTTCCACCACACCAAGCCTTTTTGTTACTAATAATATCAGAAAATATGTGTAAATTTCAATTTTATCTTTGAAATTTATAGAATATCTTAATATCACACTAAAATGAGGGCAAACAAATTGAAAAATAAAATCATTAACGAATTATTTTTAATAAAAAATATGATAATTTTTTTATCAACATTTTAAGAATTTTTTTTTTTTTTTTTTATCAACAACTTCGTCCACCATCACTATTACCGGCTCTCTTACGCAATCTCACTAGCATATCATATCTTCATGCACTACAAAAAATCTATGGTTTAGCGATGAAAAATTTTGTCATTATACCCATATATTCTGTCACTAATTTGTTTTAGCAACGGAATTGTGATGAAAAAATAT